AACGACAAACAGCCAGTTTTATACCCTGACGATCTGCTTCCACACAACGCTCACCAACGCCCAATTGTCCGGCGGCATTTAATCGTATCAGTTGATTATTACCTGCGCCATGGCAGTGTGTGAGACCCATTATGGCTGGTGGTTGATGGCCCATCGAATCAAGGCAACCATCGGTTGCCACGGAACGCAATTCGCCCCAATGCAAATTAGCTGGCAGTGCTGGGAATTTGTCATACACATCGTAGGCAATATTGTCCATAAACCACTGGAAGGATTTACAATTTAAACGCTTCTTCAGCGCTAATTGCTCGGTTATGTCGCCCATATCGAGATACCGGGCCAGCGGTTCTCTTGTATAGAAGTATTCCTTGTGTGTATCGTCAAACCATGTCTCAATGACACGTTTGTAATTGATTGTGATCAACGGGCCCTTCTTTGCCTGCGCTAATTTGCCGAAGTTGTAAGGCATGAAGCCGCGATAAACATGGCCTACACGCGAACACGGAACCCACTCAATGCTGCCACCGCACTGCCATATTTTAAAGCTCAACTCAAAGTTTTCGCCACCCCATACCAATAAACCTGGATCGTATGCACCCAATTCCAAAAAGTATTCGCGATTAATGGCAAATAGACCACCAGCATGTGTAGGACTGCGATATGGCTCTGAATTGTGAGCACGGCGTCTTTGTTCCCGTCTAGGCACTTCGTTTTCTTTGTACAACATGCCCCATTCAAATATTCCGCGAAAATGCGAATCGCCACCATAAACAGGGCGATACTCGAAGGTTTTATGATCAATCCCATCAATAATAGGCACAGTCATGACAGTTCGATCCCGGTAGATGGGTGCTAAGAGCGGTGGTAACCAGTTCGTATTCACTTCACAATGAGCATCGAGAAAAACAATTACTTCGCCTGTAGGTAAAGAAATAAAATTGTCATAGAAAACTCGATGTAAAAAAACTAAACATTACATTACCTGTGGCTTCTTGTGCACCCCTCGAGCGTGTACGGATAAGTCCTTCGCGTTCTTCATTGCGGATCAGTCTTACTAATCCATCGAATTGAACCAGATACTTTTCTAATTTCTCACGTAAGTCTTGCTTGTCTGAATAATCATCAACCAAAATAATTTCATGCAATACATGTTTCGGTGAGCGGTCAATCACTGAATGAACAGTGCGCATAAGCACTGAGAATCCTTCATTATGAAAAACAACAATGACGCTAGTTTTTGGTAAATCATATGGATAGTCCCAACGTTTACACTCCTCTAAACGCGTATCACGCACAGAACGATGCATTGATATCTCATCGGAGCATGCAATATTCATGCCATATTCCATTTCTGACTCGTCCGCTTTATTCTTTTTGTCAGCAGAGAGTTGGTGTGCTTCGCCATTTTCGCCTGGTCCGGAACGTTCCTCTGCATTTTTCGGTTCGAAATTACCAAGTCCTGAAAACAGCAAAACAGTTACTTAATATATTATTCTAACAAAAATACTTTTAAAATACTTCAAATGGTATATTTTTGGTAGGTTTTCAATAAGTAAACGCAGAGCGATACTAGCATTCTAAAGACTAAATGAAGGTACAATAAATAAAAACTGTTACTACTGTTAAGTGGCTCATGTCTTTAATCATTGTCGAATCCAGGTCTAAACTTTTGTATTCACTTTAGCAATCCTTACTGCTTACTTTAGTAAGGGATGGAAATATATTAGACAAGGATTAGAGACAAAAGCCACTTAACAGTAAGTAGTAACAGTTTTTATTTTTTGAATTTTGAATTGTGTCGTTATTGCACAGGCCCATCGACATGTATCAAACATGTAAAATTGTGAACACAGTTGGCTACTGGCTTTCTCTTTACCTTAACCAAGTTCAATGTTAGTTTTTTTTTGTGTATGGTATATTAAAGCGCAGCAAGGTCAGTGGCAGTCAATGAACTTTATTACTAAAATACCGCCTATGATAAAACAGGTAAAATCTTATAAATAGAAGATACCTACCTAAAGATAAATTGAAATTATGTATTTGCCTGAAACAAATTAACATACCTTCGACAAGTTTCGGCACCTCACGCGGTCTTCCCTCTAATTTCTTGTATATGGATCTTGCGGGTTTGCCATGGAAGCTATTTGGTCCACGCTTGGCATCGTTCCATGTTACCAGCAGATAAATTAGCGGCAATATGATCAAACAGCAAAAGATTAAGCGGCAAAGCCGGCCTCCGCGTACATTACTAACACGCATTTTCAATAGAAACTGAAATTCGCAAGATAATTTGATATTTTCTAAAGATATTTATCAACTCCGCTGGCAGCCGACATTCGTATCTGTCGACGTGTCGCAAGCGCGGCTCAAGCTGCTGCTGCCCCAGTTGATACCAAGAAAACCAATAACAAAAACACGGGCGACGAAAGCTAGTGGATGAGAACGAGCTTAGAAACGAGTATTTCAAGCGATTAAAAGAGATTTTTTCTAACTTTTCCACACATGTACTAAATTGCGAGAGTTTTAAAACTCATTTTTATGGCTTATTTAATAAGTTCACTTTTTTTAATCAAATATAAGCACAGGTGAAATAAAACAAGTAATTTGCAAATATACCTTCTGAGCAGAGCTGCCAGATCTTAAGAACGATTTCATTTGGTTGGACAAATATTGCGAAAAAATAAAAAAATTGGGACAGAAGCAGGGCTGCCAACTTCGCTCAAACCACGCCGTTTTTTTCAATTTATCACAAAGTGCCAAAATGGCTCTTTTGGAAAATATGAATATTTTAGTAAATTTTTGTGATATCCTTTGCATGTACATACTTTTTTTTCAACTAAAATTTTCTAATTTCTATAGTGCATACAATTGGTTTATCTTACTTTGGCACTGGAATTTTGTTCTAGAAATGTGTTTCTGATATTATTGCTGAATGGGGAGAATAAGAACGAATATCACCTCTTTTGGAACTTTTATTTTATAGCTTAGTATCCAGCTCTTAAGAAAAGCAAAAACTCCATATAAAATGACGTACAAGAAATGGCTAAGAAATTTTCTTGAGTCAAATTTCCTTAAGGCAGTACGCAGTTCTTCAGAAATTTAGTACGCTTTCTACTACGGTTTTCTAAAGTTTTTTGTGAAAAAAGAGCACAAGGCAACCCAGGTTTGCAACAGAAATATATGCCCGTTCCATTATTTCTTGAGGAAAGAGTGAGGCAACAGGCTGTGAGGTATAAAAAATGTCAAAATTCCTTGGACACACACGCGAAATAATGGCAATTTTTTCTTGACCGTTTTCTTAAGAGCTGGATACTAAGCTTAAATTTGATACTTTTTTATCGTAAATATGGTACTTCATAGCTAAGCAGAGTGGGCAACCCTGGACAGAAGCATCTGTTTTGCAGAAATATTGCGCAATATTTTTTAACTCCTTCATGGCCATGACCACGGGTGCCACACGACAAAAAATTTTCTGACCAGAATTTCCAAAAAAAAAATACCTAAAAGTTGTCAAGTAAAGAACAACGTTTTATTATACAGTAAACTGTAAAAAACAAACCTCAAACAATAAATTGTTTTATTAAACGAAAACCAAACAAATGCATTTTACATATGAGGCTATGAGGATCAGAGAGGCATATCCACAACAAAATTTTTAGTAATATGAGAGAGAAAGATCTATAAAAATAAAATGCGGTATTTTACAAAAACAATTTCCACCTACGTGATACTACATATTATAGTAAAAGAATCCTATGAAAGGAGTTATTGTAAAAGAAAGCCCATTTCGTTTTAAAAAATTGTGATGAAATTTCATTTTAAATGACTCTTCACCCAATTAAGATCGAAAGTTTTGGGGAGTAACATCGATACACCAATATTTCGATGCATCGGAAAAATTAGCAACGATGCTAAAATGGCTACATTTCTTTATTCATTCCAATCGTTTGGAATAAACTGTTTTGTTTACTTATTCTTTAGAACGTTCCTGATGATATGTTAACGTATATTTCAAACGCATTCTGTTTATTCTGGCTGTGAAATAGGATTATCTGGAATGTATGAAGAAACGCAGCCAGTAAATCGCCAGAGAAACTTCAGGGCTATTCGCAATTCGGTTCATAAGAGCTGACAAATTTATGCAATTGCAGAAATATGCCATGAATTGTGAGCGGCCTATATTAAACTGTCATGGTAAAACTTTTTTAATCAGTTGATAGAAATGTCAACCAGAGTTGCAAGGCATAGCATTTTTATGCTATGGATTTTCGGTATTGCAAATTTGTCAAGCCATAACAAATGCAAATGCGTGTATTTTGTTTGTGTATTGCAAATAATTTGCAATACAAATTTGCAATGCAATGATGCTAGGCCATTTGCACCTTATCGCGAATAGCCGTATCGATATAACGATAGTCTACGATGTTTTACAATTTCTTACCGGCCGTCTTCACCTACTTGAAAATCTCGCTTGCAGTTTACTATTTTCCTAGCAAGCGAGGTGCGCCGCAGTGTTGCCACACATAGGCTTTTCCTACCAAGTAGGAAGGTTTATTTCCATTTGGTAGGTTGGTAGATTAGATTGGATTTTGGTAGGTTTTACGACAATAATATTTATTTGCGAAAAATAGAATATAAATATTAATCTCCAAATATTTTAGCAACCTTGAAAAGGACAAGTCCACCATTGTCCCATTTACCAAAGGAAGGAAAGTGAACTTGACTAGAAGAGCGAAGTATCTAGGGATAACTGTAAACGCATGGCTCAGTTGGAAAGTTGAAATAAATTACTTCAACTGAGCTAATAACATTTTTAAGGGAACCTATTGGAGCCATTTTAATTTTCTGCTCAAAGACACTTCCTTTTCTTGTACGATTGAAAAACAGGAATGATGGTTCAATGTACTAGATATGTCAGTTTTCAAAAAAACATCGAATGGATACATCGACTATATCGAGTGGAAAATTTTCGATGTATCGATGTTTTACCGAAATCCCTATTCTGTTCAAATTTTTCCAACGCGCCCGATGGCGCTTTGTAAAACGTAAACAACAATGCGTAAAGTCTCGCAACTTCCGCGCACATCCCGGGTTAATGAAAAAATAATTGATTATTATCTGAAATTCGGGCAGGAGCGTGATTTAGAGAAATATATGCGTCTATATTCGCCATGCGGACACCACTGTGAAAGCAGGAGCCGCAGTACCACAACCATCAGCAGTTGTCACAGTGAGGATGAAGGACGCATTTTCAGACGATTGTTTGATCAAGATACAGAAACATCTACAGAAAGCGATTCCGAAGCTAATGAAGTCGTTGTACCAATTGATTTGGAAACAAAAAATATGCCTGAAAAATATAAGAAGCCCAAGGGAGATGAGGTAAGTCGAACTCATGTATGTACATATATGCCTAGAAATTCATACATACATACATACATATGTATATGGGTATGTATAATTTTGTAACTTTCTCGTCTAGTGTACGTCGTCTGCTCCTGACCTGCACACGCCGCCACCACGTAGGCAAAAAGACACTGACACAAGACAAACGCAAACTCCTGAGTCCATTGGCAAGTCCCACAGGCGGCTCGAATGGGATTCATTAGGGGATGTGGGCTATAAGAAGTCTTTATCAACTAGTAATATAAGCATTTTAGAGCGTTCTGTACTTAAGGAATATTTTCAAGAGATATCGTCCATTAGCTCTTCGAAAAAAGAGGCAAAAGTTACTAATGATGGCGCAAATCAGCATAAGCAGGACAAACAAAAAAGCACCCATAAAGCCGAAAAAAATGGGACCACAAAAATTGATGCCAATCAAGCTAAAAAAGATAATAAACCCAAGGAAACAAATCAATCGAAACAGTATGTAGAAAAGTATACTCTCAGCCGCAACACTCCACCCCTGGCTTCTAGCACTATGATGCCTCCAAAAAATGAAATAGATATTTCTAATGCAGGGTCACGACCCAAACTAGTGTCCACAGGCACATCAATGTCGCTACAGAAGAGATATGATCAATACGCCCAAACATCAGTGCAGCCCTTGCCTCAACTTACATCACGAGAAGTTCAAGTTACTATGTCATCCGCTGCATCAGCAACATCTTCCACCGCTGCCGACACTGCGACACCCAGCAGTTTCGATTATTATTCCTCGCGATCGACTCATTCTACCACTGATGGCGAAGTTGCCATGAGGAAAGGGTCTTTAAATAATAAACCTAAAAATATAATGAAAACCAAAGAGCGCCAAAAACAACAACAACAACAACAACAACAAAAACAAATGCATCCATTCGTGGCAGGATTACATGAAATGCTAGCTTCTAATAAAACGGTTAGCTCAAGGAAAGATAGTATATCTAAAAACGCCAGTGAAACGAGCTTACAACAAGTACACGACACTTTAAAACAAATGCTTACTGAAAATAAAGAAAATTCTACAGCATCTTCGTCGTTATTAAATTCTCCACAACTGGATTTAGGCATCCAACTGCTTTGTTCACTGATAGATGCGCGAAGCTTAAATCAAAGGCAAAAGAAAAAACTTGTGCGAGATATTGTAAAACGTATATCCACACTTAATATAGATGACAACGACGCTGATGGAGGGGAACGATTGGCTAACCTCTGCGAAAATGCTGTATCTGCTCAGTCCAGTGCAAGTGGAAAACATATATCAACAAATCCTGTTATGGAGGCTACAATTAAATCTACTTCGACCGTTACGATTGCGAGAACGGCGAAAGGTCCAATCGATATCAGCGATATGCTCCCAAATAGCACTAGCGATGAAGGAGGAGAACAGCTGGTACATGTAAATGGTAAATGATTAAAAATGTTGAATATATGTATGTATTTTTCTTAGTTAACTTAAATTTTATTTTAAGTTATAAACAAACCATCGCCACCGACAACGTCAGCCAAAGCATTAGCGAAAATGGATAAAGAAGAAAGTAAGAATATACGAAAAACACAAGCAATGCAGACGCGCATGCGTACGGACTCACATGCTGAAAATGGCAATGCGCCAAGGCTGACGGATCTAGTTGGAAGTACTACAAAGGAAACTTCTAAAAGTTTAGTAAAAGCGCCTACAAGTGCGGAGTTGAATTTAGATGCCCACTCGGACAAAGACTCCTCTGTCTCAAAAGCAAGCACCACTTCTAGAGATGTTACTACACAGAAGACGCTAATCAATGTAGAAAATGCTGGAGCTTCAGACACAGATTTAGACGTAGCAGGCAATTCAACAATGCGCGAGTGGTTGAATCCTATGACGAAATCTGAAATTGAATATGAAGAGAAAAAGCTGGAACTTGCACGCCACGCCGCCAAGCGTGATAAAATATTAAAGCGCGTAAATGGTGAAAAAATGGATACCGAACGAAGATCGCAACTAAAGTGGATTCAGTCGGAAATTCAACGCTTAGAAACATTGCGCTCTCTGTTGTCCAAACCGAATATGGAGCGCGATCATGAAGGGGAAACTATACATTCGACAAATAATGACGCAACTGCACATGAAGCTGACAAGTTATACGACACTGTTTTCTCAGATCAGCAAATTGCATCTGTGACAACCCCGACCACATCCTCCACACTAAGCAGTGGTAACAAACCGATGCAGGAAATAGAAGTGATAATTGAAGAATCAAACGAAGATGTTATAGTGTTAGATGATAAAATAAAGCGTTCGAAGCAACGCAAGCGAGAAACCCAAACCGTATACGATAAACCCACCGAAACGGCCAACACGTATGACAATTTAACTGCCAGCAAGGCACGTTTTCGTACTGTGACCGAAACAGTTACTACGAAAGAAGAACAAGTGGCGCCAACTGAATCTGTACGGTCTGGTACACCCGTACCGTCATCACCACCAAAACAATTGTCCGCTAGCAAACAACGCCAGCAACAACGCTCCAAAATCGATACGCCGTCCTATGACAGTAATGACGGGGAGAGTGTTGGCTCATTTGCAAAGCAGCGCAAGCGTGAATTTCTAGAGCAATACCGCAACAAGAAGCGCATCCATTATGAATCATTGCTACATCAACAACAGCAGTTGTTAATTCAACAGCAACAGCAGATTATTCATGAATTGCAGCAGCGCTGCAATGTAATGTCGCATACGCCGGCAGGTGCGGCAGTTGGCCATTATTCTGTGCCGCTTAAAATGCACAACAACTATTGTCCATGTGTGGCAGAGCAGCGGCCTTACCATCAAGCATATTTTCGAAAGCCATGCAATGACATAACTGCCGCACCGCCTCGGCCACATACACAACCGCAATGTGCGCCATGCCCTCCTTGTCCACCGCGAGCTCAAACGCACCAGAGCGCTGAAGTCAACTATTCTCGTAAAACACGAACAATTCATAGCGAACAGTCAACTTCGTCAATATTTTGCATTTCCTCGGAAGTCTCCATACCAATGGGCTCAAGCAACACAACTAGTTCCACAACCACAACTACACATCAGTATGATGACGTCGCAGGCGTGGGCGCTATTACAGCCGGAGTTGGTGTGCAAACGGGCGCCTCTTTACGGCGCACGCAACCTATTTTTGGCAGGCGGTTGCCCTATGACCACAATCAAGCAAGAAATGTGCCAAACTGGACCACCTCCTATCCGCAGCCGGTTTGTTCGGGTCAATCGATTAGTGTGCAAGTAAAGCCAAAAGCCATAGCCTATGTTATACAATTTGACAAGAAGACAATGTCAACCACCACAACTACGACAACATCAACATCGCAACCCACTAACTCTATTTCGAAGCCCAGCAATGAAATGAGTGATTTGATGAACGCTGAACCGAAACTATGCGCCCTGCAAGATTACTTAGTACGTGCCAAACCCCAATTTGTAGCCCATACGAAGGAGCGTAAGGCTATACTTAATCAAATACAAGCGCTGCGTCAAGAACGTGGAAGAGAATTACGCGATATAATTGAGAATGCAAGTGAAAATTCCATGCATAGCCGATTGCAACGTTTGCCACCGCCTGCAACAAGTGAGAATCAACTGCGTTTTTTACGCTTTTGAATTTTTGATAATTTTAAACGTTTTCTTGGATATTTTAGAACGCTTGCGCATCTTTGCCACTAAAGAAATGAAAGCAATTACACAAAGACATTTTCAAAATTTGCCGGAGGTTGTGAAGCAAGAAGAGCGTGTACGGGAGGAACGCCAACGAAACGGGAATCGCTTAATAAGAGATATTTTCAATCAGGTTAGTTGTACTTTAACTGCTTATATCTAAATATATAAAAAATGATTTGTTTATTTTGCAGCGCTTACAGCGACGTGTTCGCACTGGAAAGTTATCATTAAATCACAGCAAAACAGTGATTTAAAGGCGCTATCAAGACAGTAACCAAATGTTTGTGAAGAAATTCAACTTTTTAGCGCACAATTTATTTCTTTAGCGAATTTAATATTTAATAAAAATGATAATATATGAATGGACCGTAGCGAAATATTATTGAAAATTGGGGCATAGAAGTTGATATGCCTTTACAGGAAATCTGTTATACTTTGTCAGCATTAGCTGTTGCAGATGAACGCCGTAACCACACAGATAAGTTAGGGTCTGAACCAACGGCGACGGGCCCTAACATCGACGCTCCTTGTGGTAAAATATCAGAGACAGACTTAACAACTACATAGCTCTCTCTCGGCTGAACTCAGAAGTGGCAAACACCTGCATCCAACTACTTTGCCCGCATTCTCGGCCTCAGACTCGTCTCTAGTCTGGGTATGAAGAGGTACCCTGGGGAGTTAAGCACAGCTGCACTTCCACAAGTTTGACCCAGTAACATTTTCGATCACAGTGAGTTTTTTTGTTATTAATTACTTTATTTTTTAATTTATTTTTATTAGCATTCGATTATAATTTAATTTCAAATATGGTTTACATACATATATGCAATGAAATAATTTAACCATTTATCTCGAGGAAATCAACAATATTATATTATAGATATTTTAACTTTTGTTTTAACTAATTGGACTTTTGACATAACTTTACTGGCTATTCTTCACTCTGAAACAAAATGCTTTACAAAAAAATATCAGCATAAGCATGACGCACTAACTTACGCCCGAACCTAATAAGTTTGGAATTGCTTGATTTTACTATTTAAATTATAAGAGTTTGAAAAAGAAAATGCATCTATAGATCGAATGCATTACAATCTGTTAGAAAAATACGCTGAATTCGCAAGGGGGTAGTTGGCAGGGATTTGACGCTGAAAGTGATGGTCCTTAATGGGAGGTATAACTTGTCAGCTAATGTTCGAGTGTGAATGAGGGCATTTTCTCAATCCTATCAATAGGTTTGTGTTTTTTTTTTTAGCAATACAATTTTCGAAGGTATTATATTTTTGAAAAGAAAACTCAGCATTTTCTCTAACATATTGTACGCATTTAGTTATATATAATACTACTAAAAATTATATTTACAATTTAATATTTAAAGAAAATGTACTACAAATATGAAGTTAGCTCCCTTAACACTACTAATTGAGACTTTGTTTTAAAGTTTCTTACAGCATACTTAGACATTCATAACATTTGAAAGATTTTTTTACGATTTAACAAGCAGGTAAATTGGTTTTAAAATTGCCTAATCTTTACTAACAAAAGCAAGCTAAATGGTTTACTTTAATATAATAGTTATTTATTAACAATTAACAAGTCAACCAGTTTTGGCGTAGTCATCATCGAGCGGACTTTATGAGGGCAAGGCCGAAGCGCAACACTTTCGATTTTTTCTTTTATTTAAGAGCTTGTGTGAAATCTTCTTTCGGAAGTGTGAATACATAGATTTCATGTGAATGTTGAATCTGCATATTTAAAAAGATTTGACGACACTGCTTTTCTTTACTATGTAATTCAAAAATTTACTTAACATTTTTTGGAATGTGGGGATTTAAGACGAATGTGTTATATGTATATGATACTATTGCAAATACAAGTATGCATCTTTGTACAAATGCACTACATAAATTTGGTTATGAAATAAATATTAAAAACGAAAGCCCGTATGTAGGACGGTTTAAGGAAGCGAAGCGAGGCTATCAGGTCTTAGAGGTGTTAGTGTTAAGAACGATGTTGAAACACGAATGTCTAGCATTACTTATAATATAACACAATTTCCGTAACTACAGCTTTTGGGAAATAGGTACTCATAAACTTCATACCACTCAATCACATATCACTCAGTAACTTTTTTGGTCAAAAATTCGCATTTAATACCTTTATTACGTTTTAATTCCATTTTAAAGCCTACAAAATGTTGCTAATTCTTATTTCGTTCACTCTGTATGTATGTACCTTAGTAAAATTCTCGTGTATATATGTAATTGATGCTCTTCTATCAAATCACTATTTTAGTACGTTTCTTTACTCGATTTAGTCCGGAAGATATTGTAAATGTGTGTACGGGAACGACTTCTGACTAAATACAGTACACCGAACGAGTAAAGGAACAGTGAGTTTGTTTTCTCACTATTTAATGGCTAGCTTAAAAACCGTCCACCAACACTGCTTACAATATGGGCTAAACATTGCCTTCTTTCAAAGTAATTAATGTTGCTCCACCAAATGTATGCATTTATATATATCGCTGCATGTGCACATGCATATTCTTTTTAAATGATTAGCATTATTACGTAATAGAATAAAATATTTTGTTTTTCATTAATTTTTTTGATCATTTTATGTACTTAGCTTTCCACTTGTATGTATGTATGCATATATGTATTTTTGTTAATTTATTACTTTAACACAATTTCTTTTCTTTATATTCAGAAAACGTCTTTAAGCTCCACTATCGAAAAATTTAATTCTCTACGATATAGTTACTGTTCTTTGCTACTCATTCCCAAGAAATTTTCTTCCTCCATTTTGGAGAGGAATTTAATAGCTCGATGCTGGGGCTCAGTTTGCCGCGCCATATCAATGAGACCGAGCAATGTTTTAATTCCAATGAATATCCTTTAAAAACAAAAGTTTTTAATTATATTGTGGTCAAAAGTACGCTATATAAACTATTGTTGCTCACCTCTTGCCCGCCATCTTTTTGCCAATAGCCTGTAATTCACCCTTGCTGAAAATCTCTGCATGCTCAAGCACGGCTACAACGTGTTCGGCACTTGATAGATTTGGTACGTGTAAGCTGGATGTGAAGGCGGTCAACATTTCCATTTCCTCGAGCACAGCCCTAAAGAGTTATTGATAAAAAAGGTGTTACTATTAGAAAATCATACATATTTGTTGTACAACGAGCTCATTACCGTCTACTTGAAGTGACCAAAATGAGCAATTTGCGTCCCTTTGGTGGCTGTTTCTTGAGCAAAACCAACAATGCTTGCAATGTCAGATTCGAATAACGTGGTCCAATTGAACCATAATCCAACAAACGTTCTACATTGTCTACTACAATGCAACTCAACGTAGAGCGGTAAGCATCATCGAAAATCTACGATGCAAAAAAAGAGAGATAAGAAAAAACTTAAAATTGTTTTAATACATTTTACAGCACATTCCGAATTTACCTTTCGAATGTGCAAGCATTTAGCTGATTCGGTATAGCCGACCATATCCTCTGGTGAGCACACTTTAACAAACGGGAAATCCGACATTTTGGCCAATTTAGCAGCCAGCGCTGTTTTGCCAGAATTGGGTGCGCCCTCAATGAGCACTGACACCAAGCCAGAGCTTTCGGTGGCCTTTGCCTGCTGCACATACAGCATACCGTCCTCAAGTACACTGGCCACAGGCTGGCCCCAATTGGTGATACCACGTGAAAGCATATTATCCAAAATTTCTTGTGCCGTGCCAAAAGCCTACAAAGCACAATTAGTCAAAAGCATTTTCAATTTTCAAAACACTCTTCAACTCACCGGTTTAATATCATTCTCCAACGCGTGCAGGAAGTCAGTTCGTGTTACTTTAAGTTTCTCCATTGCTTGTGGATCCACATGTACCTTGGCATCAGCTTTGATTAATCGATTCATAGCGGTGGATTGTGCCGCACGCACCAAACCCTCCAACTCAGCGCCACTAAAGTTCTTTGTTAATGCAGCAATCTCCTTGGAATCGACGTCGGGAGCAATCTTGTTGAATTCGCGCATACGCTTTGTGTGTATGTTCAGAATTTGCACGCGACCCTCTTCGTTCGGCAGGCTGATCTCCATTTGCACTTCCAAGCGACCGGGTCGCATCAAAGCTTCGTCAATCATGTCACGTCTGTTGGTCATACCAATAACCAATATATTGTTTAGCTGTTCTACGCCATCGATTTTGGCTAGCAATTGATTAACCACTGTGTCGTGCACGCCACTATTGCCAGCGACCGAACCACGCGCTTTGCAGATAGCATCGATTTCATCGAAAATTATGATATGCAAACCGCTGTTGGGGCCGAGCTGCAGAGAGAAATCGTTTTATTATTTGTTATTTTTTTTTGTAACATAATTTTTCTATACTTTTGTTTAAGAATAATATAAAAAAAAAACACATATCGCTCATTTACTAAAACCAGGGATCGAAAATAATATTTTTTTCGATATTTAGGCTGCATTTCTTTATTCATTCTGAACGTTTGGAATAAACTTTTTTGTTTATTTATTCTTTAAAACGTTCCTGATATATGCTGACGTATATTTCAAACGCATTCTGTTTATTCCGGCTGTGAAATGGGATTATCCGGAATGTATAAAGAAACGCAGCCTTAAATTCTTATTTGGAAAGAATTCAGTTCTTAGGAATAACGGTAACTTTTTTTTGTTGAATTGAATTTTCGCTAAAACTTTATAAGTGGTATATAACATTTGTATATCGTATTAAAGGCATTCTTAATTCTTATTGAACGATATCAAAAATTTTGAAATCCGTGCTTTTGTTTTCAAGATATTTGGATTTAAAAAAAAAATTATGAATTTAATCTTTGACCCTTGGTAACTTCTGTAGTTTTGTTTCCCATAAAAAAATATACCGTTATACTTGCTTCAAAAACCTCTATCAACGTCCTTGTTCAAAATTTGTCGCCCCGATTATCGTAATCGTGCCCTGCCGTCTATTTAAGCTTTTAGACAAAAAAAAAGTCTTGAGATCAGCGGTAATTTTTAGCCATTTGAAATTTGCACTTTATTCTACCAGAATTCAAGGGCAAAAAACTGCATACTCAGAATCTTTCTGGGAATTCTAATTAAAAAAACTAGAAATTTTTACGAAAGTTTGTTGAATTTTCTTTTTTAATATTGCACAAAGTTTGAAACTTGAATTTATACGTGTTTTTTTTAAGAATAAACTATGTTTTTATTAAAACAAAAACAAAAAAAAATAAAAATAATATATTAAAACTTGTTAAAATGTGGTGCGCTATAATTATTTCGACCACTGTATACCCACTTTCCTTTGCCCTTTACTTACCCTTTTCTCTTCCTCCTCAGCCTCAGCAAAGAGTCGTCGTATATTTGCTTCCGATTCGCCTACATATTTGTCCAAAATTTGTGGACCATTGACAATTTTTGGTTCGCGCGCATTCAACATAGTCCCAATTTGACGTGCCATCAGCGTTTTACCAGTACCGGGTGGGCCATACAGCAATATACCTTTGACGTGTTTGCAGCCCAGCTGCTCCACAAGCTCAGGGGGGAAGACACGCGATGCAAAAGCACGACGAAAGATGGCATTGAATTCTTTATCCAAGCCACCAATACCCATCTTGCCGAAATCCCAATCTGGATTGATGATACTCTGGCGTACTATTTTTCCTTTGGACTTGCCTTGTAAATTCAGCGAAGAATTCTCAGCTTTCTCAAATTGTACAATTGTATTGCCAAGTATACGACCAAAGCGAACATTCTTTGAAGTCGTTTCCTTGCCCTCGCCAAGTGACTTTGGATCTACAGCTAATGGAATATTTAAAAAGATTCATTCAAATTGTTTACGATTATTTGAAATACGAGTATTAAGATATTTCTTTTGAGAAACTCTGAGGTGAATAAATCGTTTGTGGGGCAAAAGACAATTTTTCGATACCATTTGCTTAAATTGTGGCGGTAAAATAAACATTTTCTCTGGGCTCTTACTCTGTAGTTCGAATCGATAGTAAATTTGTTCGAATTCGAACAATTGGTACTATAAAAGAGTTAGGCGTTCGAATAGAATTTCTTTTCGATTAGAACTACAGAGTAAGGGCCCAGCTTTTAACATTTTAATAAACCACGATTGCCTTTAACTGTATCGATAGTTACATATCGACTGCTGAGTGGACGATCGACCTATCTCGGCAGCCAGTTCGAAAACGCCTTTTCTCAGCGCCCTATTTCAGAATTTGGTTAAAGAATGCCCTATCTCAGGATTCGGTTCAAAAATACCCATATATGTAATACTCCTATATTGGCAGTAGGAATGTTCGATATCGTCTCGATTATTCTGAATATCGATATTTCATGGCACGATAATCGATTTTTTTAATCAATATTCCAAGGTCGATATATCGAAGACATCGATACTTTACCCGCAATGGATATTTAAGTTTAAATTTATTTTTCATCTATAAAAAAGTGTAATGGAAAAAACTAAAGTAGGTTTAATCAGCAGCTTGTGTGATTTATTTAGCTTTTAAGTTTGACATACCGCTTGAGTAGACCGGCATACCGTTTTAATCCTCAGTAAATATACAAGATGGAAATAACACATTTAGATGAGTTGATAGGCAGGTCTAATATTCTATTGAATTGGGAGTAGGATTTTCAGCATCGATTTTTCCGATATCGATATTGTTCAGCCCGATATATCACCATATCGATTTTAGATGCAATGAATTAAATCGATTCATGATATCGATACTTTCTTAAATATCGAGCATTCCTAATTGGCAGTAAACTCACAATAATTAACCAAATAATCACTTGCTAGATGTTAGTGTAATGTTTCTTTGAAATCCAAATTCAATGGGAGTTGCCCCTTACTAAAGAGAACTTATTTCAAGTAAAGGCCAAAAGGAAGATATTGTATTTTTAAAGTCTGTAGTCCTCATAATAACTCTTATTATTTTTGCTGGCCTAAATTCCCACTCAATTTCGTAAACATTCCTTCGACAGAAATGTGTTAACGGTTAACGCAATTTTTTTCTCACACTCACCTTCCAAAGTTTTTACTGCAAGCCCTAGTAGTTTTTTGCCTTGAAAATCAAATACCAAAGTCTGCCCAACAGTCAAAGGCATGCCAGCAAACTGCATTAAAAACTCCTTTGCCATCTGGTCAGAATCATAGGGCTCCTGTGATGTACTGTGGTGGAAAAAATTATCAAAACAAAAAAACATTAAAATTAAAATTTTGGAAGGAATAAATCAATAATGCGGTCAATCACTTACATTTTCTTTTGTAAGAAGTCTGTCTCGAATGATACAAGAGTTATGACATCGGAGTTGGCATCGAAACGATATGGTCTCACATCAATATCCTGATTAATGGAAAGGGTTGCCCATTTTCGTTGCACCAACGAAAAGCCTACATGACCCCTCGCTACTTCGTTGGTGTGTGCCAATGCAAATATATAATGTTGACCGGGGCCAGGTGATATGTCGGCATACCTTGAAAATGTGGAAGTTTAATTATTTTTAAAACTAAATACATAATGAATTCGTAAATGTATGAGTGGGGGCAGGCAATTGAGCATTTTTTATTTATGCATTTTTTCTTCAATAAATACCACCCCACACGTCGCCCTCTTTTTTCGTGTTACGTACTTAACATCTTCTGGAAAATCGTTGATATTCACGATGGCCTTGTTGGTCACCGACAATTCGTCCGTTGGACATTTCGTTGCTTTCAGACGCTATAAAAAATATGCAAGTTATTTTTTTTTTAGTTTATTGTATTTGTGTTGATATTTAAAACCGTTATTCAACCTACATAGGACATTTTCTTAGGATACACCTGCACAGCACGAATAACACACAATTATCGACTAAATCTGCTTTTGCTTGCGAAAGTCTCCAACCAGACTGGTAAGTTGATGAAAAAATCCAGGGAAAATAAGGGTAGATGCTTGTTCTTATTCTTCTTACACCGAATATCGATCCATAAGATAGCAGATGTGTATGTATGTATGTAGCTATGCACCTGCAATGCCAACAAATAGAAAACTTGTAAATTTGAAGTTAAATGTAAACAATTTTTAACAAATAAAAATTAGTTGGTAATTTGTATGGCAAAAAGTATGAACTAAAGCGTTCTAATACACCCATAATCTAATAATTAGGAGCTAAAAATTACATATCTTTATGCGTAAAAGTAGTGTTCTTTTATAAAGCTTTTCAGTATCAACGCCTATATACATAAGTATATTTATAAATTTATAAATAAATGAATTTGGAACATGATATGCACGAAGAGCCAGCAGATGACTGTGTGCAACCCTTTTAATTTATTTGCATTTTTTTTCAGTCAGTACCGTTAAAACAGCTTCCGTCTATTTTAAAATATTAGTTGCGTTCCCAAACTTTTCTGGGTTAAAACCTGTAAAACTGTCAAAAGGCAAAAAAGCCAGAGAACCGAGTGCGGGGAACGCTTTCTGGTAAATTCCTGTAAATTGGCAAGAAATTTCTTGCGAGTTAGGGAACGCAACTATTGACCTATTGTTTGCTGCATGCTTGCTCCAAAATGCACTTAATATCGCATGCAATAAAAAAATTAAGTGTCATGCTATTGAAATTCGGTGTTGATGGAGGTTTGTCAAATGTATGTCAAAGTTTGTTTACGTTTGCATCAGCAACATTTTTTTCCATTGCTCACAGTTTGATTGCAAATCCGGGTTGGCCATAATGGGCTCGGGTATGAGATCAGTGGCTGCGCTATAGATACACACATATGCTTCCACTTGTCGATAAGGGGAGGGAAAGATCTTATGTGCCCCTTTGATATGCTTCGTCATATTTTTAGTGTCAATAGAAGAAGTCCGGGTTGTAGTCTCTAATATCCAAAACAAAACCACGTCATTGTTGCTTTAATTTCACAACATCGCTGGCGGGCGTACATACACCGCTGGCCAATGGATTCCGCGGAACATTATACGCTGGTTCACATATCCTTAGATTATTACTGCATTGCTAGCTGTTTATAGTCAACGAAAAGTAGCCACGACGACGCATACTTTATGAGCAAGGACAGGAACGGTCTTTGGACGGTTTCTTGTGCGTGTCAGGCTGTGCTTTTATTAATGTTGTTCTTACCTATCCTTTTGGTATTAGCCGAATTAATTCCGTGACTTTTATAAAGATTTATACTTGTTTTTTCACGCATTTAACACTTTTCCGCAAATAAACTTGTCCACTGATTGCTATTGAAATTGGCTGATGACATGTATGCGCAGAGATGCCAGAGTTTTCAAAAAATTCCCCAAATGATGGCAAATATATCGGTGCACTGTTTTCATAAATTTTACAAAACGTGCAGTTTTCTAAAATCGCATACATATCTGTGGTCATATGGAATAGTAGCTTAAGTCGAGAGGCTGGCTTGGATATAGTGTGCCATTTTTAATTTAAACCACAAGAAATATTTGATGCCACATGAGAATATTGCCTTGCTATTATCAGAACTATTCCTTTCACGTTTATTTGGCAAGAGTTATTCAACGGCTTGAGACCAATGCATCATTCGCAATCGTATCCTGCGAATTGCACATTATACTAAATCCTGTCTCCCGACTCATTGTTTTTCCGAATACGGTTAAGGAAATTTCAATTTTTGCAATATTCTTACAGGGCTCGGGGGTTGGTTTTGGAGCAGATTCAATGCAAGGTGCTTACACCCCTATTGCGAGTAGTAGATGAACGACTCTTATTCGATTATCGCTTTTACATGGTATTGTGTATGTCGACTTCTCGTTCTATAAGCGACTGTGAATTGTTTTTTTATCGCTCAGTTTTCTACAACTCTTTATTGAAGAAAACGACTTTGAAAAACCACGCATAATCGATAATCGACTAACAGTCGTTTATATACTACTAGTCCACACACGCATTAGGGGTTTTAGAATTTACAATTGACTATAAAATTATTCTTCTGCGCATAGACCCAAGTCCCATTAACACACACTTGTTTTATTCTAACTTATTTTTAATCGCATGTATACAAAGCATACAATTATTAAAAACATAAATTTTTTAAAAGCGACTATATAAACAACATAATTAGTTTAGTTTTTTGACAAGTGATAGCATACTTTACATCACAGGTAATTACGTCTGGAGTACTGTGATCCCTGATAACCATGCTGAGGTGCTCCGCCACCACCACTGGGCCCTGCTGGCATCGAGGCGGGCACATTTGATGGATAATGAGAATTTGAATTCAACGCTGGCCCTCCCCAAGCTGCAGCCGTTGGCATACCATAGGGCCCCATTGCCGGCGGAAGGGGAGGAGGCACGACTCCAGATGGACCACCTGGAGCGCCATAACTATGCGTAGGTGCTTGCGGCGGGGCGGGTGCTGCAGAATTGTATAGTGAATGTATTGGATGATTTGTGACCGGAGGCGGATATATGTTGTGATAAGTTGAAGCCATTCCGACCGTTGGTATAGCGGCAGGCTCACTAACCGTAGGCGCTATTGGCCCAGAGTTAGCGAGTGATTTGATAGACTGAATGTTAGTAAGCTCTGCAGCCGGTGGTACTACAGCGGATGATGCTGGTGCTGTTGTCGTGGTAATAGTAGCTGGCGCTGGTTTTACTTTTGCAGCAGGTGAACCAGTGCTAACTGTTGTTATTACCGGCTTTGTAGGCGTAGGGCTATCAGCGCGGCTTGGAGGTTTCTGAGGCGGACTGTTTTGCTCAGATGGTTCCTTTTGATTAGGTTGATAGAGATCCAAAACTTGATGGCAAATATCTTCAAGGATTTCCATTGTAACATCCGAAACGAACATGTCCCACCATCGATTATGACTGGGCTGACGTCCCACCCAATCGACCACAGTGAATTTACTAAGCTTACTAGCGAGATGTATTAGTGCAACCGCTATTATTTCAGGCTCCCATTGCAGGCATACAACGGTACTTAAAGAGTCATTAACAAAGTTCCACGCCATTTGTACCATTTTCTGTAATTTAACTTGATCACCACGGAAGCACTTGGCATATTTAAGCAAAAACGTGTAGGGATGCTCCACTTGTAAGTCAAATTTAATAGTTTGCAACAAAATACGCTCCAATGTCATAACCTCCTAAAAAGTAATTGAAAAAGGTTTAATTATAAATGTACTAAATACATATTCGTAGTTTCAGTACTCACCTCTTTAGGATCATCGCCAAAGGAATAAAAATAAGTGTCCGATAATAATGTCCTTGCTATTTTTATAATGTCGCGACATTTCTTCGGGGTCTCTTCAACTTTGCCAGCCAGAAAAAGGCAACAGCATGCAGTAACATATCGTGGAAAGCTTTTGAAAGAGTGAAACATATAAAATCTATGAAAGTATACTACGCCGGTAGCCATCGTGTTGTGACCCAGTCCCATTTGTGTGCCACAATTCATAATAAAGCGAGCACCTTCTTTGCGATATCGACGTTCGGTCTCAAATGATATGCCATCGAGGATGGAAGGTGTATCACGTAAATCCTTTTTATCATAATACCAACAAGGCATAGTTTTATAAAAAATGCTTATTAAATTCAAAGTGCTGGAATAATTAGAAAAAAATTACTCTATTTCACACGAATCCTACAGAACAACTGTTGACAAAGATGACGTTTATCTGTTTACAAAAACGAGCTGCCATTACGTTGTCCATACAGGGTCGCATTTCCATACGTTTGCTAATATTAGGTGTGTATAGTAACAAAAAGTAGGTACTAATTTGTACTGGAACCTGCAAGTTTTTAATAGAAAAGTGTATAATAACCATATATGTAATACTCCTATATTGGCAGTAAGAGCTAGTACCGCCCGAAAACACTACAGTACAGATATATCAATTAACATGATTCAATAATACATAATGATTGAATCATAATCAATTAACACGTGCAAAATAAAAGGAACACATACATATCGTCGCCTGGGTAAAAGATTGTCGTAAGCGCCATTTTGACGATTTTTAGTTCTAGATGCAGTTATATATTTTAAAATAAGGTCTTTCGATTGGTGTTATCAGTTCTTAGATATCTCCTTTAGTTTCCGAGATATTGACTACAACTTTTTCGATAATTTAGTAAAAATTTAGTTGGTAGTGCAGTCATATTAAACTAATCAATATCTTAAAAATGGTGTTCTCCATTTATGGATATCTCCTCTAGTTTCCGAGATATTGAGTAAAAAGTGTCGTTCATTTGGTAGATATTTTGATCACATTTTGTCTTCTGAACCTACCCATTTGGTGAGTGATCGTTATGCGTCTTCTGAACGGCTTGATACATTAGCTGTCAAATTCAACTCCCAAAGGTACACACCAATATGTTGTCTCAAATGGTGGGAAAAATATTATGATCATCTAACACGCAACTGTTCAGTTGATCAGAAGTACACAACAACGCGTTCAGAAGGTAAAATCGCAACAGTTACTGAGCTGTTGCGCCTTCTAAACGTGCCCATTGCATGTTTGAAACTTGTGTTTGTAACAATGTTCCTTGTGTATTCGTCGCCTTATTCTAATAACCCAGTTATGCATACTTGCACAGCATGAACCAATTAGAATAGATCTGACCGGTTGAGAAACAGCCATTTGTAATAGCAATTGAGAAAAAAGTGTGTGACGTTCGTAATGTTTCCTATTTCTGTTTTGCTTGATTTTTAAGAGATTTTCAATAAATTTTTTGTGAAAATGTAATTAAAATGAAGTACGTGGTGATTGGTTGCAAAAACACGTACAAATTGATTAGCACAAACATGTGCTGCAAAATTGCTTGCATTTTTGCTTTATGCTTCGTCTTCATATTATTTGTTTACTTTTCAAAGAAAATAACATGGCGCCGAAATTACAAACGTCAGCCAGAAAATTACTTTTTTCTTTTGCTTCATCTTGTCAGATCTTGTGTAGTTGGATCATGCTTGCACTGCTATACCATATTTACGTAAAAATCAAAACCCAACAGAATTCTACATGTTAAGTGCTATGCGTCGGGTAACCGCTTACTGCCATCCCTAAATTGGCGCGTCAAGCAACTGTCAAAAATTCTCATGCTCATACAATTTGTATGAAGCATCCGACAAAAACGCGCCGCTAACGCCGAGCAAATGGAATTTTAATTTTTGACAGGGCGTCACATGTTTAAGTTGGATGCAGAAGACGGAAAGAAAGAGAAGGGACAAAAAAGTGAAAGAGGAAACGAGAATAAAAACGAGAGGACCTGAGAAAACGTCAAAAATAACGACGCGTCGATTTGGTGATAGCGCGCGCTGACACTCGTTGACAATGGATAACGCAACGCTTAGCGCTGCAATTTAGGGACGACAGTTACACGTAAAGCCCATTTAACAGATTCTTATGTGACAACTCTCATGCAAAGCTAAGTATGCATAACTGGGCTATAAAACGCATTACCAGGATATCCTTATGTGAAATGTAAACGTAGCTTCATACGTAATAGCAAATAACTAATAAGATCTGGTAGCCCCATAAGTTTGTTCGTTTTTTTGGCATTTTGGAAAAACGAAGCATTTCCTATACGGTAATTTATAATGGCGCCGTTTTGTAATGTGAGCAAACGTTTTCGATTTTATTATTTTACGAGTATATTTAATGAGCTAAGTTCAACAGAAAATGCAAGAAATGAAGTGAGTGTTGAGAAAAGAATTGCAAATTATGCTAAATGCATTGTTTTGATGAGAAAGTTACAAGCCTGGGTTTAAAAGTTAACCAAGTGAGTTAAGCAAAATTCATAAGAACAGGGCGTATAAAAACTCACCAAGCCTGTTTCAGGTACTTCAGGATTTGCAGGAAAAGCTATTTTCGCTATTAATAAACCGTACGTTATTTTTTTCAGTTAAATAGGTTGTGAAAAGATATACTGCGAAGGGCACATTAAACTTCCCGACTCTTTAAACTATGGACGCGTACACAACAACCAGATCTCTGGCCTCCACCAAGTAAGTAAAAGACTTAATTTTTTCTTTATTTCGGATTTCATCAATATCTTGCTTTGTTGTTGATTATTTTATTTGTATATAATTTAGATTCATAAAATTGAATATTAAGTTTAAAATATAAGTAGATGTATAAGTAAAAAAATGTGTTGCACATAGCGTTTTCATAGTTGTATTTCTTCATTCCATTTGTTTTCTTTTATGTTTCTATAGTTTTAGTTTAGTGAGTTAAGTTACAATAGTTTAGTTAAGTTTGTTTAGTAGAAATGTAACTAGGCTCATGTTCATTAAATCATTATACCTCGCAGCAATACCGTTTTTTTTTGTTTTTCAATACATACGATTTAATATGTTTCAATTAATTTTTTTAATTGATTTTATAATTGGTTTGATGAGTTCTCCCAGAAGAACTAGAAGATAATTTTTGTTTTGTTTTCTGTAATTTAATTTTATTAAAGCCCCAATACGGAATGAATATCTAATGCAATTCTTGATACTTTGTTTATTTGCAATTTCCTTACCGTCATTTATGTTTTTGTCTAATTTATTTATTGAATTAGCCTATGCGAATAATATTTGTTGGAACGCAACTTTGTCTTCACAACTTTAAGACTAAAGACTGGAAAGAGTTTGAGAAGTTTGCATTTGCAGATTTTGAGAGAATGATCTTAATTTATGCATATATTTTATGTAAGTATGTATATATGCTATGAGAGTAGTTATTACATACATACAAATGTATTTGAATATGCAATTACTTTTAGTACATACTATGTCAGTACGTAATCTCTTGCTTACCCATACAGTGTGTTAAAGTGCTGTGATAAATGTGCTAATAGGCTTCAGTAGTGAATTTTTAATTTCGTTTCTGTTTTTGAGGCAATCGCCCAGCTAAGGAGTCGTGATGTTGGTGTTGCAGTTGCTGCTGTTAATCAAAGTGTCAATGCATGCGTGTACTCGGTATGTGGTGGCGTTTACATTTCTTAATTTATAGACACTTAAACTGTAATTAACATTATGTTGCTTACAAAATATGGTATTCTCCGAGTTCTGCAAAGTCCTTGCATGGTGCACTGATTGCACGGTTTGCAAAGCTGTCCCATACGAAAACCGGTTTTTACCGTGCAATCTGTGCACGCTGCAAGGGCTTTGCAAGACTAAAAGAATACCCCTAATAATTTTTTAATATACATATTTATGTATGTATTTTATTCAGTATTTATTTTTTTTTTTAGTTTTAGAATTGCTTTAGTAGGTGAATGCTACAACTCATAGTTTATTTTTTCAAGGAAAGAAAAGTATAAGGATTTTGACAACTTTTAGAAGTAGATAGGTAGTGCTTCGTGGATTTAAATCTTAGTCTATCATTAGACGGCATTTCAAATTGGTTAAATATTTCTTTTAGTATGTGGCGGCCGCTGTGGTGTAGTGGTTAGCAGTGCGCGCACCATTCCGCAGAGCCTGGGTTCAAGCCCGGTTCAACACAACATCTAAAAAATAATAATAAAACAAACAAGTTTTTTTCTAATAGCCATAGCTTCTCATAAAAATATAATCGCCGTTCGGAGTCGACGTAAAACTGTAGGTCCCTCCCCTTTGGGTGACAACCTCAAGGTGCACGCCACAAATCGGAGGAGAAGCTCGGCCAAACACTAACATGTGTACATACCTATGTGTAAGCGCCAATCTATTATTATTATTATTATTAAGTGACGTCAGGTTAGCGTTTCATGACAGGAAGTAAAAAAAAAATCTACATATTTATGTAAAATTGTATGGCACTTGGATTAAAATAAGGTAAATAACGTCTCTACATACATAATTTGCAAACGTTTTAAGAGATGTTCATACAGAGCAAATGAAATTAGGCTTTTGAAAACCGTTCGAGTCAAGAAATAAGAATTGTTATACATGTACATATGTAAATACAAAGTGCCGACTTAACAGCTTTGATGTAGGCAATAGGTTTGTTCGTCGAAAATCCAGCAAGAATTATCGAACACTCAAAATATCAGAGAGTAAGAAAAAATTCTCTCTCATGTTGAGAAATTTGCTAATTTTTGCACGCACGCAAATTTGCAGACATTTGCACGGTTGCTTTTCAAACATAGTAAATTTTTATAGAATTTTTAAAATTCTTTCAGATGGACAAAAACAGGATAAACATGTATATTTCTGACTTTCTTTAACATACATTTCAACTTCTTTATCGTACTAGCTGTTGGGTTTCTTAAATCGGCTCTGATTGCAATTGAATTCCGGTTTGCGAAGACAATTTTTTTTCCGACAAGTTAAGTTCAAATCATTGTAATTAACTAAATTAATTATATCAACAAGTATTTACTTCCTTTTTTCATAAAAAAAAATCGCTCATGTTTATAAATTTTTAAATTTAACGAACTTATTTATTCAAATTATCGTAGACAAAAATGCAACCATGTGCCACAATCATATGTTTTTCGTGATTGTAAATTCTTGCTGGCTAAAATTTTTCCACCAAAAATGTGCAACTTCTCTCGGGAGAACTCTCACTTAGCGCTCTCAGTTTTTGAGAGCTGGATAATTTTTTGGTCTGCACGAACGCGATTTGGGCAAAAATCATGATAATTCGTACAAATTCGTACAAATTTTTTTGCTCGACGAACAAACCTAATAT